AATCATCTTCATGGCCCTCCTCTGGACCCACTCCATGGGTCCACGTCCTTTTGCTGGGGCCCCAGAGCCAGGTGCAGTCCTCCAGGTGGGGTCTCATGAGGGCAGAGCAGAGGGGGAGAATCACCTCCCTCGACCTGCTGGCCATGCTGCTTTTTTGAGACCCTAAGAAAGTAAAATCCACGTGTGGCTATGGGGCTGCCTTTCTGCCCTGCCTGTGCCCTGTCTTCACTGGGATGCTGCCCTCAGACTGTCGCCAGTGCAACACCTCGCCTCTTCCTTGAACTTAACATCGCTTCTGAAGGCTCAGGATAATGTCCTTGAAGGACGGCAAGACTGTGCCTGTGCCAAAGCTTTCTGGAGATGCATCACTCCCTACGCTAACAAGTAAACACAACATTCGCCAGTAGATTCCCTATAAATCAATTTAATATCAGCAGGGACTTGAGTATAAGGTGGGATTTTCAGCATTCATCTGTCTCTACTTTTGATACTTTTAGTATGTGAACTTTAACTTCATTGTTCGGTTTTATTTTAGATGACACTACTCTCTGCAATTTTATGATATTCTTTCTTTATGACACATGAAGAAGACCAGAAGATGTGGATTTGGTTCTGGTGTTCATTCTGACTTGGCTTTCATCTTAGATGTATCTGTAATATCCGTATGGTTTTTCTGGATGACTCACTTCAGATATGAAGAAGTGAATTATGATCTCTCCCAGCCCTTACTGAGAGGGAACATGCTGAATCTTTAATGATGACACTCTTTTCCTCAAGGCTTCCTCAGGTATTTGAATGAAATAAGTCACAAGAAAATTTAAACAAATCTAATGTTTTAAACAGAATAAAGTCTAAATTAATTCCTCCAAGTTGATTTTAATGATATGGTTTATCTGCTGATAACTCACAGTAGGAATAATGCATAGAAGGAGAAAAAAGGCTTGAAAAAAAGTTTTATGTGATGCCAAAGACCTATTAGCCGAGTGATTGCTCTGGTGCCTGACCCTGCAGCCAAGCCATTGATGTCCTTTAGCTCCCGGGTCCCAAGTGGGGAATTTGAGCATTTTTGGGTAATCAAGAGTGCTGACCTGGGAGCCCTAGGGACCCTGGTTGCCATGGACCTGGGAGGGAGCCTGACTCCCCTTGCAGGTCTCTTAGATGGTAGTCTAAGCATCAGAAAAAAAAAGATAATTTTTGATAAAGTGGAGAAGTTTTCCCCTTTTCACACCAGTATATTTGTTCTCCTAGTTTTTACTTTCATTATAAATAATCCAGCCACCAAGCCAGGAAACACGAAATTGCTACTCTGCCCTTAATTGATTTAGTGGTTGACTTGGTAGTGTTAGGTTAATGGTTGGACTGGATGATCTGAAAGGTCTTTTCCAACCTAAACGATTCTATGATTCTGCGATGCTGTTCTAAGGTGTTTTGAGGGAAGCACTGGAGGTTCCTGGAGCCTCCAGAGGAGTTCATTTTGAGGTGATGCTGGTGGCTCAGAGGGGATGGCAGACCTGGTCAGCACGGACTAAGCAGGGCTTGGAGCAGAGTGGAGGAGATCAGAAGTGCTGAAACGCATTTGAAATTTGTCAGCACATGAACAGTAAATGAATGAAGTATGCAACTTTCATGACAAAAACTGGAGATGAGGTCAGGGCCAGTGGTCTAAAGTCATTCCAGCTCTGCCCATTGTCACTCTGGGTGTCATCAAACCAGCATGGCAGTCTGTATGTGTCTAGCAAAGACCTGAACCACTGGGAAAATAGCATTATCCGTGGACTGTTTTCATGTGTGTCTCAGGTTTTGTACAAAACCGCAGCTGGCTACAAACTGGGCTGTCCTGTGCATGCCAAATATTCGCCGTACACTATTTTTCACCAGCACCCTCACCTTTGCAATCTATCTGTGTTTGAGCAAGCTGATTTACAAGTACATCTTTTCTGAATCATTATCTGAGCTGTCTGCCAGTTGGCCCGAGGCAGACATCCAGGCACTCGAGACTGGGAGAATCGGTTCCAGCTGCACTCCGTAATTAGGAAAACCCTGGTCTGTAGCCGGATGTCCAGATGCCTTGCCAAGGAGCGTATCATTTGGTTCAACAAACAGTATTTGTGGGGAAAAAAAAGAAAAGGAGTGAAGATGTAATAGGACAAAGTTCACATGCCAGCAGCTGCTCTTCTGCTCTTCTCTTCCTCATTGCATCTCCCATTTGCAAGCTGGAGAGGTGGGTCACGGTGGGAAAGGAAGGTCTGAGGAGGTTAAACTCAGAAATAAGTTTCTCATACTCCCCACGGAGATGGAAAGTACTCGAAATGCCATTTCTTTCATGCTTTTGCACCAGGGAAAAACTGAACTTTGCATTTACTGTGTAACAAGAGTTACAGTGCAATGTGTTTTGTCAGCAATGAGAATTCGTATGAAAACTCTGTGTGTGACACATCTCGGCTAAACCCTTGGGCTCTCTGAAGTGTCTTTATTTCAAACACAGATTCAAGCTCTTTTTAAAGTTTTTGGGGTTTTTTTTGCTTGTTCTGTTGACATGAATTAACAAATGTGAAGCTTCCAAGAATAGATTTAATAATACCATAGAAAATACCAGAGCTTTTGCCACCAATGCCATTTAATCTATTTCAGCAACTAGATTAAATGACTTGCCAAAAGTTTGAGTGTTTTCCGACAATAGGATTCCCATAGTAATAAAAGAATATAATTGCACAGGATATGGTACAAAATGCAATGCAAAACTCCACTCTGGGATGATTTAGCAAAGAAAATAAATATTTCCTCCTCTTCTTCTTCCCACCTCACTTTGTCCTCTCTCTCTTGCTCCAGAAACAGCTACTTTTTAAAGTTAAACAAGCAAGAATTAACTAACCTATTCTGAGGGATCTGTGTGAAATGGGAAGGTCCTGCCTACAGATTATTGCTAATCACAGGAGGTTACTTCAATGAGAATAATTTACATATTATATGTTAATCTACTCTGTGGACTTTGACAACTTGTTCTCGTTTGACCCTGTAGTACTCAGCCTTTCTCTTGTGCTGAAAATACATTTGAATGAAATTCATAAAAGGCCATCTGGCAAAACATGCCTGTCTGGATCTGATTTATCTCCAGCCAGCCTTCTGAATTTCCTTGCGCACTGGTTGACATTCACAAGTTGATGTTCTCCTGTTGTAGCTTTCCGGCTTGATCTGAGACAACCATGGTTTTCTTACTGTAAAGCGTTTGAGGAAAATATTGATAACTTAGTTGAAGTTGGCACTTTAATTACATCCTTTTTTTTTTTTTTATCAAACCTTTGGATTTTTTGAGGTCTTTCCTTAATTCAATCCAAGAACTTCTTCTTTATCCTTCTCTGCAAGTTATTCCTTATTTAGTTGTTTTAAAAAGTAAAGCAGCATAGGTAGCAGCTCTTCATCATGAAGGTATTCACATGCAACTCGTGAGAGTCCTGATACACTGAAAATAACCTTTCCATAAGGCTCACCCAGCAGTTACCCCTATCCCACTGCTTGTGGCCGCAGGTGGATTTTGTCCCTCACTGCAAGCACAGCACTTCCTTCTCACTGCGCACCACAACAGGGTGAGGAGCAGGCTCCAAGGGCATCTTGCCCATGTTTTGTGCCAGCAGTGACCGTGATCCTGTGCTAGATCAGGTTCATTGCATTTTCACTGATTGCAGAAGTGCATTATTTCTTTGCCAAAAAATGTGTAGTGGGCCCTCTGCTCCGGCTATTTTCTGGATTCTCTTTTTTCCTTACTGTGGCTGATGAGTCCAGCTGTTTTCTCTGTTGCTCAGGACCTTCTTTTGCTTAATGACAAAAGTAAACCTCTTTTTTTCATGCCAGCTATGAATATATGCAGTGGCATTGGCATCTTGGGGCTGTGCGAGTGAAGTATTAAAGTATACCTTAGTATACTTCATTAAAGCAGAAGTTTCATCAAACATCCTGTTAGTGTTTTGTGATTTGTGTTCCATGGTGGGACTCAAGGAGATCTCTCGATGGAGGATAGACCTGACGCCTTCCCCCTCTTTCCTTTCTACTCCTTAGCTGCACCCAAGGGGATGAGGCCATGAGGCCTGCTATGGTGGATAGGCTTTAATGAACACTTCTTAAAGTGGAGCTGATTTATATTCCTTTGTTAATACAATGTTACATGTGAACTGAAATTCTGCTTAGTAAAAAATTATCAACTTCTATGACAGGCTGTCTAAGTGAAAGAAAAAAAATAAGTCTTAGCAGTGGTGTGACTTGTTGCTATAAAGCAACAGCCGGTGATGTCACGAGATTTCAGTCCAAATAGAGAATTTTTGAAAATTAATTTTGGATGCTTATCGCAAAATAGAAAGTAACGTAATTTCTGGCAAAACCGTTGACAACAGACGTAATGCATCATTGCAACAGCCCAGGCTCCGTGTTAAATGGAAATCAGCTCTGTGTAAAAAGCTGCAGACAGGCTAGTGCTCACATGAAATAAAAGATGACAAAATCGGAGACTGATGTACTGATGTAATAGTTATCACTGAACTAGAAATGTTATGATGTAATAGAATTTGTGAATATGATTTAAAATTACTGTAGTTCTTTAAATGTGAAGGTGACTTAGTTCAAATGAAATCACTTGTGCTCCCAGTCCTGCAGACTACACAAAAGTGACATTTCTTGAAATCCGCATTTCCCATCTTCCCCGATTCCTCCACACTCATGCCCGAAGCCACAGAAATCAAAAGCAGAGATGCTCAAGCTTTGGATCAGCCCTGAACAAATTTAAGGCTGTCCACAAACACGTCTTTGCAACAGAATCCCAGGGGTGTTTCAAGTGCCTCTCCTGGGAAGAGGGAGAAATAGGATCCGTCCGATAACCAGATCCCAGGGCAAGCAGATCATTTACAGTAGCTCTTTCCCTCCTGCTTGCAATCCATTTAAAACCACATCCTCCAACTCATCTCCTCCAGGACATTGAAAATAATGTTACTTTCTCTGCATTTTTTCCCCAGGAGTGACACAAAAGCAATGGGGCACTGACAGTCAGAGGACGTGCCCAGGCCTTCAATGGGAGAGTGCTGTGGAGAGAAAATCAAGTTCTACCAAGGTAAAATAAATAAATTATGTTTAGATAGCAGTCAGCAGAATGCATTCACATTTAAAAAACAATTGCTGATTGCTGAGCAGTGTATTTGGACTTGGTTTTATTTAGCTAGGCTTAGCTTAGGCAGCAGAAAAGCCAAATAAAATGATGGCTAAATGTTGTGATTCATTGTGCTTTTGGTGAGGGGGAAAAAAATTGCATGTTCTGTGGGGGAAAAAAAGTTGTTAAAAACACCTCAGGAGACTAAATCAAGTGGTATCCCAAATATCCGAGACAGAGTGTACTGATGTTCTCAAGATAAAGCCTGAGTTTTTTCAGTTCACCACAATGACATTGTGCAAGTGCATATTTTTTTTCAGAAGATGCAGTGAAGCTTGAAAGCTCCCAACGAGCACAGGATCAGCTGGTCAAACCTTAAAGATCCATTTCTTTGCCAAAGGTTGGGAGGAGGGAATAATACATATACTCGAGCAGAAAAAAGGAAAAGCAAATTATTTAAAATATTGCTGCATGAGTTTGAAGCTAATCAGGAGCATTTTTGACATGCCTTTGGACTCTTGCAGGATGTCTCCATCTATGCAGCCCTTAACAAAAGAAATAAATGTCAACTACTGGAGCATGAGAAATGCATCCAAAATAAAGTATTTCAAGCAACATTCTTCTTTGGTGCCCTGTAGAAATCTCAGGGAAGTCGAGAGTTTTGGAAGGCATGCAAAGGTCTTAAACCTGTAGGTAGAAGTAAATGTAGTGCAGAAAATATAAGGCAAATGTTATAAACCATGAAAGAAACAAAGGAGGAAGAAAATGCTTTCCCTGGGGCTGTGAAATTATTGAATTGTCAAAACCACAGGCAGCTGGTTTAAAGAGTTGATAAAATTTACCTGGCATTTCACCTCGTTAATAAATGCTTGATCTAACTCTCCCTATTTGGGCTCCCAGATCAGCCTTCCCACGAGTTACAAAGGAGCCTGTTTTCTGGCTTGTTTCCTTGCATGGGGGACAGGAACACAGGAATGGTTTTCCATGTGGGCTTTGGTGCAGGGTCCCATCTCTGGCACCCAAGCCCCAAGAAGGATGACCGTGGCACCTGGGAGGTCACAACTCTGTCACTCACATAGTCTTCCTTGAGGAAGAAGACAAGCGAAATAATTGTCAAGTACTGGCATTGATTATCAGCTGATAGACGCCCAGATATGACTGAGATGAATTCATAACAAGCAGGAGCAGTACAGCTGGCAAAAGGCACCTAAACCCCAAATGAACTTGACTGAGCTTTCATTATGGAGCTAATTCTCCGAATTTGCATGCCAATTCCGTGGGTTTTTTTCTATGAGGATTGGGAGATCTAGGAACACAGGGCAGGAGAAATCTGATCAGCCAATTTACAGCAGCAATGAGATAAGGCCAGATGCTTTATTCCATGTGATTTATGCGACCAGCCGTGTGGATGATAATAGCAGGAGATTTTAAACTGAGGCTTATTGTTTGTTGGATAGCTTTAACGTAAAAGCACTTCCTTTATCACATCGAGTGAAGTAATGTAGGACTATCAAGGTCAATCAAGATAGATGTTTACTGTCATGGTTGGAAAAATGAATCTGGGCCACTGTCAATCAGTCTTGGCCATATGTGGTTTTACATCATTGATAGGTGCCATCAAGTAATGATAAGCAAGAGGGAACTAATGAATTAAAATAGTACCCAGAGCCCTTATAGGAAATTATATCACTTTTGTGGGAGGGATCATGGAGTTTTTCCATGCTTGTAACTGGTGAGGTTGTAGAGCAGTCATGACCCTGGTGCCCACATGTCCTCTGCAGCATGTGATGGCACACATGGAGCTTCAGGCTAATGATCCATATGCGTTTTGAATTCCTGCAGATCATCATGAAGGAGCAGTTTAGAGTCTGAAATTGGCAATTGCCTTTGACATGTCCATTTTTAAAGAAACATAGTGGCCGCAAATCCCAACTGCAACAATGGGTTAAATACTGAAAATAATAGTGTAGAATACACATTTTTAATTTTAATATATTTTTGCACCAGAGTGATAAGGTTTTCATTGAAGTCTCCCAGACATTTCAGAGCTGATTCCAAGAGCGTGTGTTTTTAAATGACAAAAAAGTTAAATCGCAAACAAAACTGGCCAGTGTGATAGACGGCAGATGAGAAACAGTTACATATATTATGATAGCGTATGTTGATAATTTGAATCTTTTCATTTGCAGGAATCTCTGTCATCACAAAATACAAAATTGATTTCACCGATAGTAATTGTGCAGATGATTGAGGAGAATAAATCAAAAGAAAATTGGCCCGCTTTGCCTATGCAGTCCATGATCCCCCAGCCCAGCGCTTATCACACAAAGCAATCTTTGGCTAACCGTGGTTCAGTCAACATTAATAGAGCATTTACGGTACTTCCCAGCAGATTAGAAATTCAGGCGTCTGTAGATGACACCACGTCTCCATCGGACTCTCCCATCACAGAGGGAAAACAGTGTCAAAAACAGCAGAAAGGGTTTGCTTCCATAACTGTCACAGCCAGGCGTGTTGCTGCAGGCTCCTGCGACCCAGCACATGGAGCTGGGGCTGTGCAAGAGCCCAACGCCATGTCCCCCACCTCAAGCAAAGTCCCTACTACCCTCCGTTGCTGGCCTCCGCTGGGTTACACAAACCATAATCTCTCTCCGTTAAAGATTTCTGAATCTTGCTCACAATTAGGTGAAGAGCCACGAAAGCGGGTTTTTGACCCTGGAAACAAGGAGAACGGCGTGGGTCTTCAAAGCAGTGATGGGACAGAGAAAGTACCACCTTCATTCATCTCATGTGTCCACCTGCAGGTTTCGCAGCAGTGTCCAAATACCATCTATTATTTAGATAAGTCACTCAATGTGTGTATTGACCAACCTCGAATTAAATGCCAAAAAATTCATAGATCAGCATTGTCCTTCAATATAAATTGCAGTTCGTCTAGATTAACAGCAGATGGAGTAGATGGCATAGCTAATGGAGAGTCAATAGAGGAGATACATAAGACAAAGCTCCTAGGAGAAAACAAGACTACACTCAGATCAAACTGGAGTGCAGACTTAACAGAAGATAATGTAATTAATAGAGAGACAACAAATGAAGGCTATTTGGGTAGTAACTACCCTTCGCAAAGTGTCTTTGTCTCTGAATTCCCAACATTTGTGGATATACCCAGAGGACCTAATAACGTAGTGGCAACAAAGAAAGGTGATGACGATAAGCAATGTGGCAGCTATGACACTACGTTTTCTCTCCAGCTTCCTAATTCAAGTGATGAGGCAGGTAAGTAATTTCTATAAACCTCAGTCTGGTGGAGCAGAGGTTCAGGCTGGAACAGACCCACCACAATGATTTTATGTGAGCAGATAATAGTAATTTTGCTTCTGCGAAGGTACAGTGAATCAGAGCACAACCCAGACGTTTTCAGTTCCAGGACTACCACAAATATATTTACCATGCTAGTGATGCATGCTGCTCATCAGGTGATAGAGAAAACTCTGCCTGTGTTTTCTGCATTAAACCTCTATTTTTAACCATTTATAACTTATTTTTTTCCTCCCAGCAACATGCAAGCGCTTAGCCCCTGAAAATAATTACGTCTGTCTTTACAAAGAAAGGGCTGAAATTCAAGGTGTGAGATTAAGAAGGAGATGGCTGCACTGAGCTTGGTTTTGTGCTCCTTGTGTTTAAAAATGATCATTTTCAGCATTTATTTAGAAGGCTATAGTAATAAGCCCAGGCCTTTATAACTAATGGCTCCAGGTAAATGGTTTGCAAATCTTTAACACATTTCTTTCAAACATTTCCAAGCATTTCACAAATGTAAAATTTTCTTTGCAACATTGCTCTCGGGGAAGAGAAAGGTACTGTGGGGATTGCCTCATGCCCAGAGTGGCATAGCTCCTGCTGCACTGGGCTGCAGCAGCTCCTTTACAGTGCACGTGAATAACCACAGCTGAGTTTATTGGCTCTCCAGGAAGGGCGTGGGGATGGGAAGAATGTCAATGAGCGAGTCTGGTTTTTACCAAAAACACTAAGGTTAGAACTTACCCCCCATGTATCCTGCGACCTTGGGCTACATTTAATTGCAATTACCTTGTTCTTACATGGCCTTTTTGATCTAAGGGTCAGTATGTGACCATAGGCTACTTCCTAAGATTCATTTGTACCTTTATCTTCTCAGTGTGCAAAGGGAAAAAAAGAGAAAGATAAGAAGTTGTGTGTTGTCTCAAGGGCTAGACAGGATACAAAACCTGGGCTGCACCGTCCCTTTGCACCTTGCTGTGACTGCTGCACTCGCTTTCCCATGCCTGAAATCAGTGGAACTGCTTTTGCAGTTATCAAGGTGCAAACAGTGAGAAGGCACTGCTTTATTCAGAGGCCTCCTGCTTTAGCCTTAAAGAAAATTATCAACAGAGCCAGGATTTCCACAGAGAAACCGGCGTTGTCAGTAATTCCAGAGTCAGGCCCTTAAATGAAAGCTGCATGGGTCTCCAGGGTGAAGCACCCCTCAGGCTGGCTCCTGAAGGAAGCCTGAGATAAAATATTTCTTTATGTTTAAGTGTAATCCAGGTTGTCTGGTGTTGAAGGGGAGACGGCACAGTGGGGAGCAGGAGAGGGAAGATGCCAACCAGTGCTAAAGCAAGGAAGAAAGGTAAAGGGGTGAGGGTTGGTGAGGACCTTCCACTGACCGACACCAGCGAATTAAGCATTTCAGCTTTGCACTTCATTGCATGCCATCCTAATTTCAAATAAGAATATCCTCCCAATGTTTCCATAGAAAGTACTGTGCATTCAAGGCTTTGTTCAACACCATCTAAGGTGTCTCTGTGACATACCACAGAAACAAGGATTAGAATAATATTGAGACTTGGGCTTGCTAATACAGTGGCAGTCATGAAAGAATCACTTTTACTAGAAGTAGTTAGAAAGTGAAATGTGACATTGCTTATGGTTCCACAGTTTTACTAAAAAGAGGAAACAAGTGAGGTAACCAGCTGAGAAATACTGGGTTTTGATAAATGATTTCCACCATTTGTGTACACAAGAATACAGGTGTAAATAAATATGGGAAGCGTTACCTTTTTAACTGCTTCCACCTTTTGTGTAAGCAATAGTGTAGAATGTAAAGATATACATTTCTCTTGATCAGACCCTTTGTAATATATGACGGTGTTTATCAGCTTACTGCAACTTTCCTGTGTGAAACTTGTACAAACAGCCAGAATAATGCTTCAAAACAACAGTCATTCTCACCAGGATCCCCAAAGTAATGAGCTCTTGCATAGCCGTCAGCCATTAAACGTGACAAATCTTGAGAAACCTAGTTAAATGCATGAGACGTCCGCACTGCTCATTAAAATGAAAGGCAATTGGTATGATTCTAACCTGGGAGAAAATTAAAAAATGAGTTCCCTTTAGTTCTGAAAAGGTGTGAAGCAAGGGAGTGAAGTGATCTCTTAGGTCCAACACTCCATTCTGGTGGAAATCTGGTACAGTCCTACAGCCTGTTATATGGGTTTTTTCCTGGACTAGTTTTAAATATCTAATGAAAGCTATAATGGGACACAGTTACTTCCTGCTTTTTGCTGTGGCCCGTCTGTGTATAGAGCTCAAAATTACACGACCTGTATTGCAAGGTGCTGCTTTACAAGCACAGCAAAGTAACTAACCCATCAGCAAAGTCCTTTATGCCATTACGGAGTCCCAGTTCTTTCGATATTTTTTGTTCCAATGTTTACTGGCTCAAATCCATTCACTTTAAGCTTTGGTCTGCTATATGTTTATGCAGTGAAATGTTTGTGAAATGAAATGTTTAAAAAGAAGAACTCGCAAAGAAGGGGCAGCGAACAATTTTTGACGCCGTGTTAATACTTTAACATAGTTATCTTACGATAGAGCAGAGCGCGCTTTGTCCATCACATTTCTGATGACCCAGAAAGTTTGAGTTTATATTAGTTTGCAGCTGTAGGCAATACTTTCCTGCCAGCAGAAATACAAGTGGTAATAACATCACCGTGACCAAAAAAAAAAAAAAAAAATTACTTTCAAGGCTAGACTTTTCTGTATGAAATCTGTAAATGTAGTTTCCAGGATGTATAGGCTGCCTTATTAGGATCTGAAGTGGAACGAGCACCCAAATATTTCTCTGCTTTACAGGTACTGCGGCCAGGTTTGCTGTTTCCTGCAGGGCTGGTTGAGTCATGGCCTCTTTGGAGTGTCTTTTTTCTAATTTTTCACGTGGCTTCACTAAAGTAATGATGACTCTACTTATAGTATTACTCATACTATTTCATGTTCAAATCCAAGTATTCAAGACTTGGCTTTACATAGACCTGGATAACCTAATCTAAGGCCCTGTTTTCAGC